CTCTTTCTACTTTTGTAATATAATATCTTGTAAATAGTTGTAATTTATTCATATTTCTGTGTTTTCCGCTTTGTATGTCATTGCTCTGAAGATGTCTTAAGTTAAAGACGAAACGTTAGCTTTCAAATAATTTGTACATGATAAATATTCTTTATATAAATATTGTTGTATATGCATGTATTACGGTTTCTCCCAAATTTTCTAGGTCTACTTCTTTGAAGAAACTCAATCACTGAAGATACAGTGTGAAAGTCTACAACAACGAGTTGATATTTTAACCCAAGAATTATCCTGCCGAGATGAAGAAGTAGCCATGCATCAAAAGGTATTAAAGTGAAATTGTAGAAGGGTTTTGACTTTTGGAAATTTCCATCTGTACTATAGTTTATATACTGGTTATAAGCCTAAGTGTAAATGGCCAAAATCCTGATCATAAATTGAAATGTCTTTAGTCTTTACTCTTAATTTAGATTTTGCATTTTTAGTAGTTGCTGTAATGAACTTTTATAATTACATTTGTTTCCCGTTCACAAATTACGAAATGGTTGACAATTGTAAACAAGAAATAGAAAAGAAATACTAAAACTAAAAGTTGAACATATTTAATTTTAATTACGAAATTTATTAATATTTAAAATTAATGGCGAAATTTCGCCATTTTTGTCTGTTCCTGAACTGGTGAAGATCCGTGCTTCCTGTTCGTTGATGTTTTGTAACTCCATACCATGGAAAACGTCATTAAATTTCAGGACAGTCATTCTAGTGAGTGTTGTTCATCCCCAATTTCGTGTTGTTTACAAAATTTCAATCAAAAATTGGTTTTCCGCCATCTTTAGAAAGTGCCAATGTGCCCAGATGCGCCCTAAGTGTTATTTTACTCAGTCCAGGCCAAAATTCATGTGGACACCCAATCTACTTTTGCAAAATCCTAACAAACAGCTAAAACTTAACTTTTTTAATTTGTGATGCTGACTTAAACAATCGTGCACACACGCACAAATTTCAAGGTGTAAAATGTTGTGTATTGCTATTTGCAGGAAATAGACAACGAGAGACAGGCTCGTGCAGAACATGATTTTATGGCGCAGAAACTGATTATAAAAGTTGAAGAATTGCAATCTCGAATACACAATAAAGATTTTAAATCTGAGCATTACGATGAAGAGCTGTGGTAAGTAGCGACGACAAACCTGCTCTCCGTGTACGCAAGGAAAAGTTGAAATCTTTCTAAATTTTATACAAGTACTAATTACCTCAACAAATGCATATTAAATCACACAGAAAACTAAATTATATCCTTTTATTCAATTACCGGTAGTTATTTCATAAGTAAAATTTAAATTAAACTTTTCCCTGCGTACACGCACGTATGAAAAACGCTTAACGGGAAAGCAGCCTTTTTAGGGAAAATGTTTCCAGTTGCGTAAATATAAGAATTATTTTTACTTGAACGAAATAATTGGTAGATCGTGTAGACGCTCTACTAATTGAGTATCAGGTGACAAGTTTTACTTACGTAGGATTTTATTAGTTTTGAGTTTGCTGTCATAACTGATTACGTTCACTTTCATCTTGTGATCATCAAGATATTGAAAAATAAGGAATCGACGTAAAGAAATCGTTGTTTCAACTTTCGCTAAGTTATCCGGTTATGTAAGAAATCAATGTTTCACCTTTCGCTATCACTATACAACACGTGTTTAAGTTTCACTTTCACTATCGCGTATTAAGCCTGGTTTCCATATAGTCGTAATGCTCGTAAAAATAAAGTCACGATCTTTCTCGACAGCCAGTTTATAATAGTTTATACCTGTAAACCACATATAAATCATAAGTATTCTCTAGTTAGAATCACTCCGCGTATTTTCAGTTCTAAAATGTTGTATTTCGGCTGATGAGAAAGATCATGACTCAATCTGTACGACCATATGGAAAGCAGGCTTTACCTGAACCTTTATGTATATATTTTGATGTATAGTGATCGTCAAGATATTGAGAAAGAAGTTATGTATTTACGTAAAGAAAATGTTGTGCTCGAGGCTTCATTGAACAGTAAAACAAATGAGAATGTTGAAATTCAGAAAGAGGTATTTATAGCATAGCACTCCTCCCCCTCCCCCTTGTTCTTAAACCGGTAACCGCTTGACATCTGAAGCCCTGATCAAACGAGGATGAGAGTACAAGAGAGTTGGCAGTCACACAACAGTTGTTCTTAATGCTTTCCCAACACTATCATGATTGTATTTTATGTTAAAAGTAGTTGGAACACTAAACCTTAATTTTGTTAATCTAGAGCTTGTCAGCTTGAAATATGCTCTGTAACATTGCGTGACTACCAACTCTCACTATCTAGTATTGGCATGCTCGATGGGGAAATTATTTGTAAGGCGTAGTAAGATTTCTTGATTTAAAAATCCTCTTTTTTCTTGATTGATTTCTATAAATTAGTAGATGATTTTCGGTAATCGATTATTTTAAAATTTGAATTTACCCCTTGAGCAAGCTAATCAGTTAATTGTTCAATTTAGTTTGTATCTACAACGTAATCTTTTTCTTTTTGGTGGGACTTAGTTATAAATGGACTTATGTTCTGTTGTCCTTACCATCTATCTTCATTTATGATTATAAAACTCATTAATAATTCATGAGGAAAATACAAAAGAAATGAATGTTTAATCAATGTTTAATCCAGGGCATTTTTTAACTATATAACTGGGGGGGCCAAAGCCCCCCCAGTCCCCATGGTGGCCCCCCCCCACTCAACCATTTTGGCCCCCCCCCCAGACAAAGTCCCTTTTCTCTAAAATATAAGCAAAACATGGAATTTAGAAGGGAGGTTTGATATTCTAGTAACTGAAATTTGCTTTGTGAATCTTATGTCCTGTCTTTTATGTTTAATAAATACCTTATTAGATTTTAAACATTTCCCAGGCAGTGGATTGCATTTCCCAGACCCTATAGATTTGAGTTGTTGGACAAGTTAGTGACCGCAGGGGGCAACAGGCTCTCAACCAAGTGTTTTATAAGGGGAGGGAGGGGGATAATTTTGGCCCCCACCAAAAAAAAAATTTGATTTCGAAACTAGAAGTATTTGAAATCATATATACATATAATCAAATATCTGTAATCGATATTTTGATAACATTTCTCGTAATAATCCATCCTTACTCGCGGATATCATAGACTCACAAATCATAATGAACGAATTAATGAAAGGGCCTAACAAAAGACGTATAGAAGACTTTGAAAATGCCATTTCCGACGATTTAGAGACGCACACTTTTCAAAATTTTTCCGCTCTGTGCCAACCATGGTGGCGCTTCGTGGGAGTCGGGAACTCTAAGTTTATCAAGCTGGCTCCCTAAGTGACGGCCAAGTTGTGGTATCTACATAAACATACTATGCAAGTCAGCAAGTACTTAACTGAAGGTTCAGTCTATCTACAGCATAATGTAATGCTGTATATCCAAAAATCTGTTTCAGAAAATGCAGGGAATTGCAGTCATAGGGGTAGAAAAATACAAAAATTTTCTGGGAGAGAAAACTTCAGACCCTCTCCAGGGGGGGGGAGGGGGGCTGGGGAGCTGCAGCCCCTAATAATTTGCTAATAATCATTCATTTTTCAAAATCATGCAGACCTTTATCATTTAATCCATGACAAACTGCAAAGAATGAAGATATTACCCATACTTTCCTGCAACTTATCCAATATATCGTTAATTAAATACGCCTTCGCCCATTTAGTACTACTGAATTCTAAATTTCCACATACTAAAAACGCTGTTTTCTGACAATCAGAAATCTGTCAAATCTTCCCCAAAGTCCAGGAAATGGCATTTCAGAGACTCTAAATTTAAAAATTTCCTCGGGCCTTCGGCCCTCGCTTTCAGCCCCCCCCCAAACGAAAAGAGCTTCCTACGGCCCTGCTCTTCCCCCCCCCCCTACTATTAAATTCGATACCGCACCAAACTTTTGTTACCAACAAACCATCTATCATTGCTCCACACTCGGTATAGTATGGTCCCTTTTTGTAGATGGCCCCCCCACTGACGAATTCTTAAAAAATGCCCTGGTTTAATCAATGTTTAATCTCGCCTTCGGCTCGAGTTTGTATATCAGATAAAGATCGGCTGCTCATGTTTTATCTAGTACTTGTTAAGCAATTAAAAAAACAACTCTCTGTCTCATTCTTGTTTGGCTAAAGGCTGGCACAGTGACTCCTCTCCGTTACTCCTCTAAATGAGCATGAATCTTTTCCCTGCTGCAGATGGTGTTCAAACAACCTCTGATGTTGTTTTTACTCCACTCTTTATAAAATTCTAAACTGTACATCTGTTAGTGGCTAATAAGCATGACAAAGTGCGCATATGATGTGAAAATAGATAAAAGTTTATTTTAAGTTCGTCCAGGCTCCATGCATGCATATACACTACTGTATCTTGTGGCTCTATCTCATTTGTTATATAAATGATAACCATATAGCGAACATTATTTGTCCTTAGGTGCAGTCATGTAAGCAAACATTGGCGCTTCTGAAACAAGACAAAGAATATCTAAATAAACAATTGACTGAAGTCACGACAAAATGTAAAGTATTTGAAGAACAAGTTATTGTTCTTAATCAAGAACTTGGAAAAATAAAACAAGACAGAGAAGAATTGTATGAGAAATACATTTCTGTAAGGTATGTAATGTATATGTAAAACTTTATTTAATGACGCTATAGCCTTGTCGACAGCAGGCGTCGCTATAACACAAGAAAAGGATATTTACAAAGAAAGAAAAATCGGTCGTATATTAAGATCTATAATTGATTCTATCTAACAATATAATTGTTTTACAAAATTTTTGAAAGAGTAAATATTGATTGCGCTATTCCAAAGTTTAACACCACTGTACTTAAAGCTTTTTTTAAGAAATTCGCGTCTCGGTTTAGGAAGGGCCAGATCAGTGTGAGCATTTCTGAGGTCATAATTAGTTTGTAGAGAATTCCTCCTCATCAATAACTCTTTCAAATTTGATGCACTACAATCGTTCACAATTTTGTATAATAATGTTGCCTTACTCATACCTCGTCTTGAATCTAAATTTTCCCATTCAAGAGCCCGAAGAACGTCAGCAGACCTGATCTCATTAAATAATCCTTTTAATGTCGCATATATCGAACAAAACGTTTGTTGTCAATATCATTATCAGATAATAACTTGCTTACCCGAGAGAATATAAATCCTAGCGTGGTTTATATTTTTTGCTGATCGACCTACCTTGGTGCGACTGTATCTATAGGAGTCCAGAATGAAAGGTAGCTATCTAGCTTTTGTGTTAGGAACCAGTATAGGACGCAAGAAAACGGACGTGCCTTTGACGGAGCGTATATCTGAAATAGCTGGCAGATCTCCAGATAATTGTTTATTTGCATGCAGGACTCCTTCTCCATCAGATAACAGCTCTTATGTGCATGCTGGTCTACATGTTTCGTCAAGCTTTGATTAATTCTAATATTCTATAGAGTCTTAGTTAGAGCGTGGTTAGAGCCAATGTTGTTGCACGATGAATATGTAAAGGATAGTATAATAGCGTTCATTTCAATTCGTTTGTTCACACAGGGCTGTAGCTACCCAGGCTTTATACAACCGGTTCTATAGAAACCAGGCATGAGAGCCAGGGGCTGGTTGAACAGGATATTTCTCAGTGGATCCTCAGTGTCTCTTAGGAAATTGGGTTGACCCAACATCCATTGTACTTAAAAATGGAATAGAAATGTTGTTCTCTTCTAGAGAGAAGTATAAATCTGAATACGAAATGAAGTTAAGAGATGAACTGGATGTAATTACAACAAAGACAAATACTGAGTTGGATAAAATTAAAAATAATACTAAAGAAATGTATGAGAGAGAAAACAGGTGAGAAGTATAAGACAGTAAAGATATAGGTATGGTTTCAACTACCTAAAAAGAAAAAGAGTAAGCCTAGTACTAATATATTACCTTCGGCTGCACAGGATACAAACACATTAACGGTTTGTATATATTAGTTTCCTATAAACACAGTTAGTAACCTCGTGTCTATAGTGTTGTTTTAGTCCATATCTTGGATTTCTCAGGACGTTTCGGACATTTATATCGTCTTATAGTTTCTAACTTTATTCTTTGTAAGAAACTTAGTATTTCTTCTTTTCGAATGTTCAATGCATGTCAATGTCAGTTTTGCATAACTTGTAAAGTATATTATAATATTTGTAATAAGACGTCTCGATGCAAAAGAGCCATGTATTTTTTATGATTTTTCCACCATGTATTTTTCATAAATTTTCAATGATTAATTTCCCAATGAAATTTTACAGAGCCATTTTTTACTAATTTATTCTTCAAAAATTTAAAATCTTAGAAACTTGAGAGAAGCAAGAGACAATGCACTTGCAGAAAAAGACAGAGCTGTACATGCTGAACAACAGATGACGTCACGATATGAACAGGTGTTCCAAGAGTAGGTATTCCAACCAAGACTCGCAGGTTTTGTAGTGTTATAGTGTAATTATCTGCATCTCTGATCTAGTTCCAGTCTTCACTAAGATAAAAGATCTGTACTTACTAGATTGTTACCCTATTAAAGGACTGGCACGAGTATTGACCTTTTGCCGTTATGGAGAACTTAGTGAAGTCGACATTGTGGTTTAGATTTTGGTTGAGAATGTGGGAACTGTTGCTCACAAATGTTTTCCATTTGTTCCCTGAACCTACACACCTGACCCCCTAAAAATATAACATATTTGTCTGCAGAATAGTCATGATCGCGAATTTATAAGTAACTTGTGATAAAAATTCTGATAAAGTATGCAAACATAACTTTCCTGCATGTTTAAAAGATAAGGATCTTCCTGAGACAGTCCACTCGACGATTTTATTTATTTTAACTCAAATGTTATAAAATAATTGAACAGGAGTCAACTTATACAAAATATTTAAAACTGCTGCTTCAACAAGAAGAACGGACATGATAATAAGCGAACTGTGAACATGCAACATTAATTACAATTCAAATACAGTAGTCAAGCAAGACTGTTCAGCAGGCAAGCAAGACTTTTCAGTAGTCAAGCAAGACTTTTCAGTAGTCATGCAAGACTTTTCAAGAGTAGTCAAGCAAGACTTTTCAGTAGTCAAGCAAGACTTTTCAGTAGTCAAGCAAGACGTTTCAGTAGTCAAGCAAGACTTTTCAATAGTCAAGCAAGACTTTTCAGTAGTCAAGCAAGATTTTTCAATAGTCAAGCAAGACTTCTTTTCAGTATTCAAGCAAGACTTTTCAGTATTCAAGCAAGACTTTTCAGTAGTCAAGCAAGACTTATCAGTAGTCAAGAAAGACTTATCAGTAGTCAAGCAAGACTTTGCAGTAGTCATGCAAGACTTTTCAGTAGTCATGCAAGACTTTTCAGTAGTCATGCAAGACTTTGCAGTAGTCATGCAAGACTTTGCAGTAGTCATGCAAGACTTTTCAGTAGTCATGCAAGACTTTTCAGTAGTCATGCAAGACTTTTCAGTAGTCATGCAAGACTTTTCAATAGTCAGGCAAGACTTTTCAGTAGTCATGCAAGACTTTTCAGTAGTCAAGCAAGACTTTTCTGTAGTCAGGCAAGACTTTTCAGTAGTCAAGCAAGTTGATGGGCGGGCGGCACACATGACCGACAACTCGGCATCAGAGCTGGCAGAGCACTTCCTCCCCCCTATCAGATCATGCTGGATCCATCCCTGTCTTAGGATGACCCCAGGAAATGAATTCTTTCATCGTAACAAAATGTGTTTTTTTGCCAGATATAGAGAGCTGCAGGGAGCATCTGACAGCAAGGTGACAGAACTACACAGTGATTTAAAACTCAAACAATTTGAGTTGGATCGTTTACAAATGTTATACGAGGAAACATCGCAAAGTTTAAAACAAGCTAATGTTGATACGACGAAATATCAACACAAGTTAGAGGTAGGTCACTTTGTACGTTGTGTTAATGTTTTCTCATGTTTGCATTGTACGTTGTGTGTAAGCCAAGCGTGTCTTAGTAACCTTTTGTGTTAGAAGCTATATATATACGCATACTCATTTGACATTAAAAACACTGAAAATCGTAAAATATGGCCAATCATGTATATTAAAACCAGTGGCGCGGTCACTTGGGAGATCCCTCCCCGACCCCCTAGTGCTCGCCGGACTAAAACATACACATTTTGTCCTTCATTCACCAACTGGAATACTTGGTTTGATATCACGTGATACAAGGGACATGTTTCCATGCATAATTCCTGACACATTACCGTTTTGGCACAAAAACGTCTTTTCGTGCGTTGGTTTAATCTACAGTCCACATAGCCTAGTCCCAGGCCTTCCCGCGTGACTGGGTCAGTTTTCAACCACGCAAGAAGGCTTAGCGAAATTTGTGAACTTGGTTTTAGTCCTAAATTCATAACCTTGCCTGAACTGCCAGTGCGTGTATTTCCTTCGGTATCGAAATATCTTCATTGTTCATCTCAAACACAGTTCATACTCAGGGCCGCTCGAAGGGCAAAAATTGTTCCACGAAGAGTGACTTGTGCTACGCTTCGCTGACCGTCTCTCCCCAGCGTGCCTAGCATCGCGGAAGCGAAAAGCATGCGGGAACTAGACTGCAGTCCACACTACCCATTGACACGGGCTTAAGAGCTGGTATGCCTGAATTTAGACACTTATTGTGCAGTCAAACCTGTTAACTTTATGAAATGGGTTATGAAAATAAGTCTCTGTCTACTGTATCTTCTTTATCAGGTTTTAAACAAAGAGTTCTACACTTTGCAAGCATCTACTGACAAACAGATTAATGAACTACAGTCTACGAATACTGATGCAACGAAGAAACTTTCAATATATGAGAAACTGGAACAAGAACTGGATGACGTCATATTACAGGCAGCTCAATGTAGGTATTTATGTCAATGAAGATGTATCAGAAATTATAGCGTCAAATTAGAATTATTATTATTGTTTTCATACGGAGTCCATTTCACAAAATGTGCTCTTCCATGGAGCCATGCACACTAAAATATCGACATAGTACAATTACAATTACTATTACGATGACTGTGAAGTGTATAAGAGCTGTGAAATAGAAAGAGTTTTGATTTTTGTTTACTCTTCAAGCTACTAAAAAGTGTTGCCAAAGAAGCGTAATAGCCTTCTCCGCAGGTATCTTTATGCGTTTTAGCCTGCGAATGGGTGTTCGAAAAAAATATTTCTCCCGAGAGATGCTTGTGGATGAAGGTAGAAGCGTAGTATTGCCGTTTGTAACTATCCCTCTCTAATAGACACCCCTATTAAACGCCCCTCTTCATCATTTACGTTCATTATTTAGTGGAAAGTGAAGTGGATGCAGAGAGAGTATTGTTTGCGTATGGTTATGGCGCTAATGTACCAAGTACTGCCAAGAGAAGGATGCAACAGAGGTAAGATGAAATTGCTGGCTGGCAATCAAAACTATGGATCACATTGTCAGCCTCAATTTCAAGCTGTTGTTTCATTTGCACCAAAGAGAATTTGGAAAGTGTCTATTTTAGTTTTTAATGAGTGTTCCCACTTTAGAATGTTCTGAACATTGAAGTATAAGCAAAAAACCCACAACAAAAACAGAACTAAGGGTTATGGCAATTCATCTACCAACGGGCTTTCACATCTTTTTCAAGCTGGCAAGCATCAACCACTGATTTATACTATAACTATACTAATCAGTATGTCTAAGCAAACGTTATTGGTATCAACATTGAGGAATTCGTACTAATATATCCGCAATTCCAAGTCGTGTTTCGGAATGATAGGGACACAACCACCTGAAAAATACAAGGAGAAGTGCCTTCGCTCGAAACGGTCCAAGTTCTCCTTGTATTTTCAGGTACCGTTGTATCCCTATAAATCCGAAGCTTTCCTATTATAATTATTGCCACTACCTACACTGGCACAAACCGGTCAAGATTATTTCCAAGTCAACATCTATTTGGTACCCTAATTTGCTTAACATAACTATTAACATTATTTCCATTGATGAAAATCTGGATTTACGGGTCGAAAGCTTCGCCAAATAAATAATATTATAATCATTGCCAACACAAATAATTAGTGATTTCTGTATTATTAATTTCTATCTCATCAAGTATTCATCTTGCTCGTCGTGTGTTGAAGTTAGAGAGAATGAATACAACATTGCAAGGACAGCTGGAGGACGAGAAAAGGAAGAGAGATGAACTTTTACAAGAGGTAAAGGGTTGCTTTGTAAAAACCACCAATATAACTTGTTCTAGCTCTCAATTTAAGATACTCATGTAAATTATTCATAACTCTAACCCCAATCCATGCATTTACCTTAACCCTAATTCGTACTTTAATCTTATTCTTACAATTGCAAATGTTACAATTATTGTTGAAATTTTTGTCAGCCCTATATGGATACCAGCCATGTGTTGAATAGGCCAACTTGCATGTATAAAGTTTACCATGCCATGCCATGACCATGACCAAAAGTTGTGCATCAATGTTGTGACGTCATTTCGGTATATATTTACACGGAAGTGAACAACAATCTTAAAAATCTTCATTGCACGATAAATTCCTTGTAGTCGATGATAAATTATGTACTTCATATTGGCTAGCGCCACGTTTTTATCCGTTTATTAAAGTATTAATTAATATTCTTCAAGGATTTTTGTAGATGGAAATTCGAGCGCAAGATTATAATTTACACCTAACCAGGAGCAGCTGCGAAAAATGCAACTATAGAGCCTCTGGCAGGAATCCAACCTGCGGGCTACAGAGCTCTAACCAACTGAGCTACAGAGTCCAGTTTGTCGAGCTCTAAGTTCTTGTATACATATACAAATTTAGTATTTTTACACATTCAAGTGAACATAACAAATCCTACAAATTGGTCAAATTTGACGTATTAAGCTGTTATATTCACCTTATAGGTGAATATAACAAAACCGAAATTTTCAAAATGGCGGCTAGCCGTTGTGTGGCCATTATACTGATAAAGAAATAAGCAAAATTAAAATAAACTCAGTCCCAAAAACACAAAAATACTAAAACAATTATTCGCCTCAGGCTCGGTGATTATCGGGGAATATTCACCTGGACTTCGTCTTGGCGAGTATTCTCCGATAATCACCTCGCCTTCGGCGAATAATTGTTAAATACTGTATATACTGGGTGGTGCCATTATAAGGTATGGGTAAATATCGTTATTTTTTGTCAAAAATTGTATATAATCTTACGCTCGAAATTTCCATCTACAAAAATCGTTCATCTCTTAGTTATATCGAGCGAGATGGTTCCCAGCATTACTACACCGTCTGCTGTTGGTTTCTGACCGTTCCAAGAAGACTCGGTCAAATATGGATATACAAGTCTGTCGACTTTCCATATTTGTATCGCGAAATGACATCCTCAGTTCACAAAACTTCATTTCAATTTCTAGCTGTCGAATACAACGAATATTCTGAACGAGGCCCAACAACCTTACAATTATCTTATTGAAAGTATTCGAGTAAGAGATTCTCAAATTAAATCTTTGCAAGAAAATAATACTTTGCTCGAAGAAGATATCAGGTAACCAACTCTCTATTAACAGATAATGTATAGAAACTGTCTTAAGGTGGCACTAACCCCAAAGTAATATGATTTTGATATGTGTAATAATTGGGTCATCCTAAGAAGAGATATATCTTTAAAGTGAAAAACCTCACTCGGTCAACTTGCTTCCAATCAAGCTACCGGCTATCATCGATGTCAATCATGTCAGTTCTTCACCCTTTGCTTCGACAATCCGTTCAGGGGCGGATCTAGGGGTGATCAGAGCGATCACGCGACTAAGGTAAAAATTGGGCAGAAAGTTGTTAAATTAAAATAGCAGTCCAGTTATCAAACTTCGCGCAGTGTATTGTATTGAAAGTTTAACAGTCCAGTTCTAAGATATCATCCAGTAGCAAGGCCTTCGAACATGAACGCGCAGAAAAGCGGTCTTATATTACGCATGAGTTTTGCACGCTCTGAGTCAGATTCCAGCCATCTGATTGGCTATCTCGATTTTTGCGCGATCTGTGGGGAGTTCTGATCGCTAAAGCGATCAGGGGCTCGAATACAGGCTATCCGATTGGCTAATTCAAAAAATCCTCAATTCCCGTTGGCTGGATTTTTTTGATCGATCATACCGTTCAGGCTAATAGTATGCACGGAAAGGTCTATGACGTTGCTGGATCTTTCTGATCAAGCAGCAGTATTTATGTAAAATTGACTGAAATATTATGTAAATTTCGTCTCTTATTATTATACGCGTACCCGCCGATTTTATAGCATGTGCGTGTTATGGCAATCGGAAAATTTATCAGAAGTTCTAAACTAATACTAGCCATGTCTGTTGGTATTTACGAAACCGCAAAGGCTGCTTTAGAGAAAGATGATCGACAATATCTTAACAATATTTTAAAGATATGTAACCGAAGCGTTCCATTAAAGACTTATTGTGCGCTGTGAACAACACATAGCATCATAGCTGTTGTAGGCTGTAGTGATTGCGCGTCTGTACCATAGATATCTTATATACACTAGATAGCGCATCTCTATTAGTAAAACTGAAGCCAAGAATATTCCAGCGGTTACCCCCATTTGAATAGATGGCGGCCATGTTGGTCGTTCCCACTCGCTAATAAACGCTTAAAAATAACAATAACTTTCATCATTTGAATAGTTTAAAAATGTATTTGGTATAGGTTTTACTAAATGTTTAAGTTGCCTGTTTAAGAAATAGAAAATATACGAATCTTCTCATTTCATGGGAACGACCTGAGACTGCAATCACGGCTTCAATTTTTGAATTGCAGAATAACTAGATGCGCTATCTAGTGTATATAAGATATCTATGGTCTGTACGTAGTAAGAGATGAAATTTACATAATATTTCGGTCAATTTACATAATACTGCGGCTTAATACAAGCAGTTTCAGTTTGTTTATACTTTGTTTATGCCTCTTGTGGAATGTGGGCTTTATATATTGATCAGATACTTAATAATACTGTATTATTTATGCCTAGTTGTCTAGTATATTAAAACTACAAACACATGACAATGTGGCATGGCTTTGTGTAATACGATCTCTGTGAATACTTATTCATGGCACATGTTTCTGCTATGAATAAAACTCGAGAAGCAGTGATTTAAACGTGGAAATTCTATTCCTGAGAATTAACAATCAATCAAATGTTTTATAAAACTACATCGCTATATGGAGTTATGTGTTTCCTAGGCATGCTGACGAGCCCTGAATTGGGCGAAACAGTAATTTTTCACGTAACATTTTTTCGTAAAACTGGATACAAATTAATTCGCTTTGCGACCCCCCCCCCCGTTAAAAGAATCCCCCCCCCCTCGATGTTCAGCAACGAAATTTTTGACTAACGTACGAAAAATCCTAGATCCGCCCCTGAATTATCCGTTCGTGTTTCAAGATCCGCCAATGTATCTCAATACTAATCGTAATCATAGCCGACAGAAGCCTCTGCAGAGGAGAGAGATCTAATGACATGTTGTTGTTTGTAGAAAATTACAGCAAGAGCAAGATAAACTCGCTGAGAGTAAGAACAAAATAACAGCGGATCTTGAACGATTACTAAACCAACGAGAGGTTCTTATACTATACGTATAAATATCTGCTTCCTGTTCTACCTTTGTGAACATACATTAATTAACCATAATTCTAAAAATCTTTCTACCAAAGTACAGTCGCAAACATCGTCCATGCAATGAAACACATTAGGGCATTATATTGACGGACAAAAATGTATTTTTGTAAATTTCAGGAATTGGGAGTTATAAAGAATGTTGTGCTAAATTTAAGATCTCGTGGTAAAGAACCTCCAAGCACTGAAACACGGACATCTTCAGGCAAAATGACATCATCAAAACATCTTCCTCATTCTATACCTCCTTCGACACAATTTGTAAGTAGCCACAGTTTTATATTATGCGTTTAACAAATACATGTGTAAACAGGTGGATTATTCAAAGTATGATGAATCCAAGAAAGCTGCGTCTTTTTGTTTCATCCCTCCCCTAACTTAAGAAGACAATTATTTCATAAAATGACTAGGCATTTTCCCACTTTCTACTCAATTGTTCTACTGATTATGCATCAAGATTGAGGAGGATGTTAAAATGGAGGATGTTAAAATGGAAATTGATTCCCCGAGTTTCGACTTGAATTAAAAACCTGGTTTTAGATATGGATTTGGTTCATCTGTGAATTTCAATAGACAATAGGTCGAGTGTAGCCTCCTCCGCAGGCATCTCTATGGGTTTTAGCCTGCGAATGGGTGTTGAAATACTCTGGTGAGATGCCTGCGGAGGAGGCTAAGGTCGAGTCTATACGAGGCCACGAATTTAGTTTGCTCAACATATAGTGATTACCTCGTTGAATTAGTAACCACATAAAGGTTTGATTCGTTCAAACTTCTGATTAGTTCAAAGAGTTTCTGATTAGAACCACAAAGTCAAAAATGACGAGGAGAGTTTCGCACGGCTGATGAATATTCCTCTTTACTAACTTTAAATATTCCTCCTCTCATAAAAGTCCCATGTTTGTTCCTCGCGAATTAAAAAACAACTTTCTTGTTGTAGACGAAACAAGACACGCCATTATGGTACAATAAACTGAAACACAAATACTCAAAATCAGACGGATGACGCAAACTTTATATTGGAGGACACTTAAAGCAACTATAGGGAGGTTTACCCAAGGCGCTGCCGACGTCAAAGACGACTTGAAAATGGCGTGATGTGCCCATTTATGGATGTGCCCACGCCATTTTCACGTCGTCTTTGGCGTCGCGTCGTCTTTGCTAAACCTCCCTAATATTAAAATGTGGGTTTGTGTAATAAGAGATCTGCACGAACCGTACGCGGCACATTTGTTGCCACGCGCAACGTCGGATCATTTTCATGAACAAATGTTGCATTCTTTGTATGCAATGCAGGGCTGTGAGTACTCCGACAATTATAACGCGTTTAATACCAGCTGCTCGTTGCATTTGTTATTTTGACCTGTAATTAATTACTTTTTTAATTATTACAAAAGGAACGCATCCCTTCATCAGAGAAAGTTATTGGTTTTAACTATTGTGGTGTCCCCGTCATTCGTCACTTGTATAATATTCTATTTATATTGAATGCATTTCATTCGTGTAATTTTACCTGGCGAAGTTGAATAAAGAAAAAAGAAAAAAACAACCGTTGTTATCCTAACCTTGTGCTTCCACGGTTCCACCTTATCTTCGTGAATGTGGCAATTTGGATCATTGAAATAAAACCTAATTTTCATCACCACTGGCTTATTTTCATTCCTCTTACAGTAATACAAAATATAATCTTTTCTGGGCATAGGAAGCCCACTGTTTGAGAAATTAGTATGTAATCAACTTAAAACCTACATGATGAGTAACTTTTTATTATTATTTTATTATTATTAATCATCTTTATACAGGTTAACTTGTTCAGCTATTACAATAAATGCTGTTATCCTACAAGGACCTGTAACAATATAATAACTAAAAATCAGTCAGGTTTTCGAGAGCACCACTCCACGGAAACCGCTTTACTTGATTTAACAAACGATTGGCTTCATAATATGGATAATGGTTTATTGAACGGGGTTTTGTTTCTGGATTTTAAAAAGGCGTTTGACTCAGTCAATCATAACATACTACTTTCCAAATTAGAGCTTTACGGTATCAGAGGAACTAGTCTGAAATGGTTTAGATCTTATTTTAGTAACAGGAAACAGATTTGCTCTATTAATGGTAAGCAATCAGATGTAAACGAACTTAAGTGTGGAGTTCCACAGGGATCCAACCTTGGGCCTTTTTGTTTCTCTTATAAATTAACGACTTGCCCAGATGTCTCCAAACTACTAAGGCTAGATTATTTGCAGACGATACAACTCTTTCCATCAGTGCTCCAACCGTCGATGAAATTGAATCAAAACTTAACCATGATCTTTTGAATGTTAACGAATGGCTCATTGCAAATAAACTTACACTAAACGAAACGAAAACTGAATTTATGATAACGGGTTCACGCCAGCGAGTCCCGTCATTTGAGCAGGGCCCCATAATTAAACTTGGTAATCAAGTTATTAAGCGTGTACCCAATAAAAAGACGCTTGGTGTAATTTTAAATGAACGTCTAACTTGGAACAGGCATATCGACGAACAAAATAAAAAGATTTCAAACAATATTGCTTTACTAAGGAGAGCTAAATCGTTTGTGCCTGAACATATCCTTAATAAAATGTATAATGCATTTGTAATTCCGAATTTCTACTGTTCCACTGTTTGGCACGATGGGATCGTGACTAAAACACCACACGAGTAACACACAAGTACATACGAGTAACATACGAGTAAAACACAAGTACATACGAGTACATACGAATAGAATACGAGTACATACGAGTAAAATACGAGTAGTAAACTTGTTTTTAGTGTTTGTAGATTGAATACAGGCAAAAAGATCGTCTTCTCTGTCGAAAAACGTGAACTCTGAAACCAGCTATCTTTAAAACCCGGAATGGAGTAACATACGAGTAAAACACAAGTACATACGAGTACGTACGAGTAGAATACGAGTACACACGAGTAGAATACGAGTAAAATACGAGTAGTAAACTTGTTTTTAGTGTTTGTAGATTGAATACAGGCAAAAAGATCGTCTTCTCTGTCGAAAAACGTGAAATAGACTGAAACCGGCTATCTTTAAAACTGGAATCGGGGAATGGGAGAACGGGGAATGTGGGAACGGGAATGGGGGAACGGAGAATGGGGGAACGAGGAACGGGGGTGACAGGGGAATCGGGGAATTATGAATTATTATTAATACGTAATATTAATCATATGTACGGGGGAAAAAAGAACAGAAAAAGGAAACAGAAATTCGACAGGAGAAACGGGAATCGGGGAATTACGAAACTATAAAACGAACTCTGGTGTCTTGGGAATTAGAAAACCGCTCAATGAATTAAAAAGTAATGAAATTTAGCGGAGCTTTCCTTTATTAGTACAGCGTATCATAAAAAAGTCAATCAACATTGCTTATGTCCGATCATTAAGTAATATTAATAATAATAACATTGCTTACGTCATTACTAATATACTTGCTATATAATAAAACAAACTTAAGGACTAAATGCAAGCCCAAGGCAGTCCTTATGCTCCATATGATATCTTAAAGTGATTATCCTATTTTAAATATCTTACAAAGCAAAACTAACAAAACACAAAATACTTCAAAATACGCAGATTTTAAGTTAGCAATTTAAGTTGGCAAGTACGTTTCTAAAGGACCCAGCCGAACTCTCCTACAAGCCTTTGGACGTGCTCCAGCTCCACTTTGAAAAGGGGAGGAAGTCTGGAGGAACGACGAGAACGTCGCCAAGAAAGCTTGGATACTTTGCTCTGATGCAGGCTGATCGGAGATGAAAATGCACGTTCTGAGGCTCACTTGAATACTGGATTTGTCCTGTATTTCGGACTCGGAACTGTCGTATGTCGCGGTATACGACAATTAAATCATCAGGTAAAGCTTGAGGAGGATTCTTTATTTCTCCGTTGCATCCGGACCGTAACATCGAGATACCCGTGTCCCTGCTACCCACTTTAGTTTGAACGACGAACTTGATTGAATCAGATTAGGGTTGGAGAAGACATTCTGAATAACAGGTTGGTGTGGAGCTGCTTCGGGGAAAAGACTATTAAGCCTGTTGTCCCCTGTTTCTTGATGTATGGCAACTGAAGATTGAAACCGGAGCTACGTTTAGTGGAAATACCGGTGCTTGTGGATTGACGAAGACAGATCGGTTACCTTCTAGGAGGTCCCTTGTCTCGGTAACAGGAGGTTTCTGCGAGTTGCTTTTCTTTCGATTGCTTGGTTTCTTCCCCGCGCTCTTTGGAGCACTTCCTAATGCCATGTCCAACACTTTGTCTTTATGCCCTCTTTTGGATCTGCCCTTTTTTTGGATCGGTACCATGCCAAGAACTCGTTTAATGATCCACGGACTTGCGCTACTGCCAGGACATGTTCGCATATCTTTGTCGAGCTATTTACGCAGGCCCGATCACACTTCAAACTGCCGCCTTTTCCATGTGTAACGATATGTATGTTGTTTGCATATTCAGCGACAATAAACGATCAATATTTTAATTTTGTGATAGGTAGTAGGACCTCCGCATGCGTCTTGGACCTGTGGTTTACTTATATTCATTATATATCTAATGGATTTCTAATATTTTCAACGGGGTCTTGAAAGCAGACCATGCCGTGTAACGTCGTACAAGAGGTGCACGTGTATAACGGTGCGCTGTATTATGTCTTTATATGTCAATCCATTGTAGAAATATCGTAATTGAAGCTAGCATCTACTGTATGTAAAGTTGTTACTTAGTAATTGATAGGTGTGATTTGGTGATGTGCATTTATCACACTGTCGGATTTGACCATACCGCGATATTGCAAATTAGGAATTGGTAATAAGATTTGCACAGTCCCTTGTGATTTTGTGTAATTTTCCTTTATCTCATTTATGTGAATGGTACTACAAAGTTGTGGTTTATAGAATCGGGCAGACCTTCCCCGTCCCTCCCCCATCTTCCATTTCCTCCCTCCCCCCCCCCTGGTCCCACCATTCCCTCCGTTCCCCATTCCCCTTCAACGTCCCCCCATTCCCCGTTCCCCCATTTCCCGTTCCCCCATTCCTCGTTCCGGGTTTTAAAGATAGCCGGTTTCAGCCTGTTTGATGTTTTTCGACAGAAAAGACGATCTTTTTGCCTGTATTCAATCTACAAACACTAAAAACAAGTTTACTACTCATATTTTACTCGTATTCTACTCGTATGTACTTGTGTTTTACTCGTATGTTACTCGTATGTACTCGTGTGTTACTCGTATGTAGTCGTATGTTACTCGTATGTACTCGTGTGTTACTCGTATGTACTCGTATGTACTTGTGTGTTACTCGTATGTACTCGTGTGGTGTTTTAGTCACGATCGAACGATGGCTACAAAAGTAAACTTACAAAGCTATCTAAACTTCAAAAGAAAGCGGCACGTGTGATAACCGGCGCTTCATACGATGTACGGTCCAATGAATATTTCGAAAACTTGATTGGATGCCAATCCATAAAAGCTTATCTATTCGAGAAAATATTGTTACTTTTAAAGCACTTACTGCTAATTCTCCGAATTATCTCACAGAAATGTTTAATTTCTGTTCAAACGAAACGTACAACTTGAGAAGTAACTTTTGCCAACTTTCATGGGTGTACCGGAAGGAAAAAATTAGGGGGGCGGAAAGAAAATTGCCCGACTTTTCGGGATTCTGCCCGACTAGTACCAAAAAATTTTTTCCGGAAAAATTATTTTGGCGACCTCCCTCCCCCCCCTCGCCAAAAAAATTTCGGTCAGTGTACCATTTTAGGGGTCAAAAAAATTTTCCGGACAAAGACACAAATTTTCGAAAAATAAGAAAATTTGCCAAAAAATTGACTTAATTTTAGACAAAATTGTCAGAATTTGTCCTATTTTTTTTTATTACAAACCAAAATTGCCCGACTGTTGATCGAATATTGCCCGACTGCCCAAAAAACTGGGGGGGCTACCGCCCCCCCCCCCGCCCGGTACGCCTATGCCAACTTTCCCTTGAGAAACCTAACAAATTTTCTCAAAAAAGTTTCTCATATAGAGCGGCAAAATCTTGGAACAATCTCCCGGATAACATTAGACAAAACGTCGACAATATCACACTAAATGTTGCTAAATCTATGCTCATCAATCACTACAGAACCGATTAAGTCCCCTTGGGTTAATCAGTAATATCAGCAGTTTTTTAGTATAATTAGAATAATTAGTTGTTTAATGTATTAGAATATATTATAGTGTGAAGGTGACCAGTATGTAGGCTCACACTATTTTGTATTATAGAATTAGGTTAATATATCGCTCACAGTCAATCTCGTACCCAGAGTATGCCCGTTTGCAGGTTAGGTGCTGGTCATACCCAGCACCTAACCTGCGAACGGGCATACACTGGGTACGAGATTGGATCACCGTTGAAAATTAGGCTCTGGGTTAGACAACTAAAGGGAAAGATCTGATTGGCTTCTCAAAGAACTGCTATCTTGCATAAGTTGAGCAATTTTAATTCTGCTGTTGTTCTTGAAACTCTTGGTTGGGAAACTTTAAAAAGTAGAAGACAGAAGATGAAGTCCATTCTTCTGTATTATATAAAATTCTAAACGATTATACTGCTCCTAACTTGAAAGAGTCACTGACTGGGAGTAGTTTAACGCAAGCGAATTATAATTTAAGAAATAGCTATACTGATTTAGCTCTCCCAAAACCGAGAATTAGGGAATTCCTAAAAAAAAGGTTTTAAATATAGCGGGGCAAAGCTTTGGAATAGCCTTTCTCGGGAAGCAAAAGAAGCACGATCAATCCATATTTTCAAACAAAATATTAATCTTTGACTCTGTTACTAATGTTAATGTATGGGTCACACCTCCTGTATTCAGCATGTACTTTTGTAAATAATTTTTCTTTGTTTCTATTTATTCTCTTGTAAATATATATTAATACTTTGTATATAAATTGACGACGCCCCTCATGAAAACCAACGTATGTTGACGACGTCTTGAAATAAATTTTTACGATACGACGAAGGTCGCGCGCGGCCGTGAGACCCTGATAGCTGCGAGAAACTGACTCGTCCCCATCCTCGTCCCCAGGGCCTCTCGCGTCCTCCCTTGGACCACAGATGAAGTATCTGTGCTTAATGATTGTGTGCTTAATGTGATGATTAATCTATGCTTGGACACACGGAACCGCAAGAAAACTTGCAGTAGTTTCTAAAGCGCATGGCTCTTGAATTGGGACTCTACCACCCGTAACAATTACGAAGTATTTGTGTTGACATAATATGTTGATACGGTTGATAGAATAATTTTGCCTACCAAAAACTGCTCAACCTCGATCTGCGAAATAGCAGTTCTCTGAGAAGCCAATCAGATCTCTCCCTTTAGTCGTCTAACCCAGAGCCGAATTTTCAACGAGTGAAAATGGCTCTGGGGACGAGAATAACTCGTACCCAGTCGTCAATATTATGATTCACGAGTACATATCGTACATATAAAAAAAATGGCACTCAAAAAATGTTGAGTATTGAAGTAAAAATTTACAACCTGAAACTGTATTAAATTCATACGACTAATCACTTGAACGATTTTGTTTTGGTTATGTTAATGGAGGCTACCATCGTACGGACTACGGGACAATCTGGACAGTCATTGAATGAATTTCAATAGTTCTAATAAATCCAGGCCTGGAAAGTCGGTTATAGTCATGGAAAATTGACTTGTACATAATTACAAAAAGCACATACACTATAGAGCGTTTGCACATGACGTCACAGCCGCCATGTTGGTGTTCCGATTCAAACGACTTTTTTGTCTGGAACACCAACATGGCCGCCATGGCTTTTAATTTGTCGAGTTGGTCCCTGCGGGGGAATTGGTGCAAACGCTCTATACTGTACATGCCTAACCTGCGAACGGGCATGCTCTGGGTACGAGATTGTATACAGTACGTATTTAGCGAGAAAATTGTGAATGGGCCGGCAGTATTTCCGGAAATTTGATAGGAAACCAGCGTTTCAAAATTCCATGTCAAAAGCATCTGCATGTCTTGCTTTACCGGCAGTTAAGTGATTAGACCTTGTGACTGTACGTCTAGTAGAGAACGAATCAATTATACTAAGTGATAGCCACGAAGCAACTTGATTTATACGCGTTTCGAAAGTCCTGTAAACAGGTTTTTGTAGATGGGAATATTGGGCGAAAACTATGTATATTTTAGATCTAACCGGGAGTAGATGCAAAAAATGCAACTGTGAACTGTAGACCCTGTAGAGTTGCAAAAAAGCGGCGGGTACCGCCCCGTAAGGTTTAATGTGGAACGCTATACTTTCTGGAAACCGGGTTTCCGTAGCAATCGTAACATATACCTGCATCTACTAGCAGTCACCAGCCTGTGCAGTTTATCTGTGAGTACAATGCAATCAACCAGCTTATCAATGCTAAATACTAGTCGATATAATAGGAATAAGAAGCCGTTTTTAGTGGCATATAAATTAATATATTTTGCAAATTGAAAAAGCCATAATTCACATTATTTTCAGCCATTGAGGACCTCTCACACAGGCTCCTGCGAGGAGCGCAGAGGAAAGAGCCTGTGTACGAGGTTGATTTTGAGGCAGGTTTGAAAACTTGAAATTTTACCCGGAAAAGGTTGAACACTTTTGGTAACTCTAGTCCGGCTGGAATCGAACTTGTGGCCCTGCAATTCTGAGCTCTGTAACTGCACTCTGCTGGAGGGAACCTAGACATCAGATGTGCGACCTTCCCGCGCGATATGATGTGCAAGAGATTTTTGCCATGTTGGATGATATTTGCATTGCAAACAAGCAAAATTCTTTGTCAATGTCATCCAACATGGCGACGGTGACGTGCACACCACCTATACGAGCTGTTGTAGTTCGCACAACGGCCCATGTCTAGCTTCCAAAGGAACAAACCATTCGAAAAGTAATGGGTAGGGGGATGTGTGGAAAAACTAAAACAAAATTTAAATTTAGAAAAAATATCCTGCGGAAGCAAAAGAGGGTGGAAAGTGGTAGTTCCAGCTAAAATTATAGATGGGAAAATTTCCCTAACTTGGTGAGTATGAACTCTAATAACAACATTCTGACAAAACCAAGAACAACTTTAATAACAATATCGCCAAAATAAATAATCTTTCTCATATGATACAAATATAACACAATTTGCCAATATATTATAGTATATCTGTTTCTTATTTTCTGCGTTAACTGTCCGATATGTATACACACGAATCAACACTCACTTCCACATTGCACCTGTCCATGTTAAGCCCCAGGGGAGAGAGATAAGGTATACAGGGAGTCCCAAAAAACGAAAACTATTGAAATCACCAATAACAATTTAATTGTTAGAATTTGAATGCCTTAGCACTCTGTTGGTTCCCACGAGTGATAAATGATTGACATAAGTAAATTTAGAAGCTGCTTTAAATTCCCAAAAGTAGAAAATCGCGCACTTTACAAGGAGATGTTCTTAACTAAATTTTAATACATGCACCTTGTCAATATTTTACGCATCATTACGTCCAGCTTTTTGGTAGGGCATTCAATTTTAACAATAAGTGATTTCAATAGTTTTCGGGTTTTTTGGGGGACACCCTGTATATGGGACATTCGATTATTCATGCAAATCTTAGATCAAATGTCCATTACCATGGCACAACAAATGTCTGTCAAATGTGATCAAATGCCTCACTGAACATGGGCACAGGTGTGAACAGAATTCAAGATGCCCAACTCATTCAAACATCGATTCCCGCCTTGATAACCAAATTTCCAAGGGGGTGAGACAAAGGCAATGAAATACTCCACATATTGCTGACCCCCTTCCCTGTAGGACTTAACATTGATATGGTGCATAATAACAATTTATATAATAAACAATCCCACATTGTATAATTATGAACATTATTTAAAGCTTATTTTGAGAAAATGATCATTCGATCATTTATCTGGAAGGGCAGGTTTACAATTTATTGGACTGCTAGATTTTGCAACATCAAAGTTGAGGTACTGAAAATTGCCTGAAAATAAGACAAAGTGGGGTTTTTTCACTGTCAATATTATCATTTAGTTTTGTATTTATACAATATGTTTAGTCATTAACAATGCAATTACATCTCAAAATGAGACAGTTGCAAGGAAGAAAATCTGAAACTAATCCCTGTGCCCTTAATTGGATGTTAATGCAGTGTAAAATCAGCTTAGTAACTTTGACATTAGTTTACCGAATGTTCCCCGATATTTGGGACAGACAATTAGCAAGTCCATCAAATGGATAATGTTTACCGTACTTATATGAAATAGCTCCGCTATTTCACAAACTTGGCGAAGAGCAAAAATGTATTCACTGTCAGTAGTACCATGATAACAATTCAATGTTTAATCTATGTAAACAGGACTGTATAAAAATTTAATTTAATGTGCCCCGACATTTGGGGCATACCACCATGTCCATGAGATGTATTATCCTGGGATGCATTTGGCATATCTTCCTGACACGACCTACCACGGAATAGCCACACCAGTGACATTGTATGGTCTTCGGGTCCTGTCTGCATGTGCATTCTTTGAATTGGAACTACAGTAACATTAAAAAAAATCACATTTTCAAATGTTCACCAAAAAGGTGGACCCGCAGTAATTGGAGACTATAGCTGTTGCGGTCAGTTCCTGATATAATTAATATAAAATATAATGATAAGTGTATGTAATTATTTCCGTTATTATAATAATGGCAAAGTTAATAAGTTAAAAAAATTTAATTAATGTAATAAGTAGGACTGTTTGGTATACCGATATACCGAAAATATTGGTATTAAATCAATACCGGTGTATCGATACTGGATATTCAACCATACCGATATAGCGAAATTTCCGATATACCGGATTTTTCGGTATACCGTGTTAAATTTACCAACCATATTGCAAAACCATAACCTTTATTTTACCACTGAATGGCAATTCAAAGAACATTCTACTGCAATGATTTAGAATTTCCACTTCAGTGAGATTTTACACTGAGTACGTGTCGTTCAAAACATGTTCGAAACAGCTTCGAAATTATCGTTTTCCCTTTTAGAATTACTCAAAATTTCTTTCAAATTTCCATTAGAGAATTCTCCTTTATAATTATCAAAGGAAAACCGGTATACCGATATAATTTTTTCGGTATACCGATACCGGAAATTTCTCATGCAATTAAGATCATGAAATTCTCCCCCAGTACGGAAGGGAAAAAAGTATGGGGGCTGATGAGGGGGGCATTGGGGGGTATTCAATACCGTAATACTGCAAACAAATTTTGTCAATTACCACAGTTTTTTAGTCAAAAGTTGGGAATACCGTGTACAGCAAGATTTCCAATATCGTAATACCGCAATTTTTCAAGGAAAATACCGAAATACGGTATGAAAAATAAGCTAATACCGCCATACCGTAAATCCCAATGTCCCTCTCGCTGAGGACTGAGTAGGGTTGGAAAAATTTTCAAAGGGCTTTTAAAATTTTTTCCCCAACATACGTATTTCTTAGGGCACATTGAAATACAATATATTTTCGAATCACCGCCGCTCTCGAATATTTACTTTTAGCAATTTTACACTCTCTCGAAAAACAAAAAGAAACCGAATATGCCCTAATTAAGGTATTGTTCTATACTAACATTAAAGTTACCTTTTGACAACAAATGTGGAAAATGTAGTATTCTAAAAATGTATTTAATTAATAGTGAAAAAATAATATTTCCATTTTCAACCCTAATGACTTTCAACCCTCGACCTTGACTTTCGACCTATGGCCCTCGACAATTACCCAAACTGGTATATAGTAAGGTGTTGTCAATGCAATGCGTATGGGTAAATTTTGGGTATCAATTCCTGCCATCTTGGAGGGCCTAATTAGTTGTATTTCTCACAACTGCTCCTGGTTAGGTGTAATGTTGTAACTGTATGAAACCATATTTAAAATTTACTCCTCAAAAGGAGACTCTTGCCAGACAAAAACTAAAGAAATGCAACAACGACTTGTTTAATACTCAGTAACACATTTTTACTATTCGCCAAATTTGTAAAATAGCGGAGCTATATCATAAAAAAATGGTAAAGAGAAAATAAATGGTACAAGGGAATATTAACTTATATAAATTTTACCAAAATTCACAAAAAAACCGCAAACATCGTCTGGAATAACAACTTTTCGAGCAAAACACTTCACGTGGTTCCCATTGTTTTGCAATAGATAGCGTATTTTAAATGTAAATGGATAGCCATTGCTGTCAACGCCATATTATTGCATTACTGTAAAACGAAATAAATAAAGTTTAAAATGTTGTTCTTTACCAAAGAGAAACTGTTTTAATACTGCGAAACGACTAAAATGATGAAAATCCCATTGCTATTTTATCAAACAAGACATTCTCGTGTTTTTATGCAAAATATAACTTTTGCCAAGGTGTTTTTTGTCCACTCAGTAGGTCAATTACGTAAATAGGTCGAACACGTGGAGACACAGACGTGGACTCATGAATCGAAACAAGCATCATAGAGTTAAACACCAATTTGTTAAACACTACTTCGTTTCATACACATGTAAGGCAATGACAGTATATCAGCCGTCTGTGTTGATAAATACAGTTAAAGTGCGCAATTCAAGACTGCATATTAAGGCGAAGTTAAATGGCCCTAGCTTGTGTACCCACTTTCAAATTTTAATATGAATACGCCCGTTTTATAAACCAAAAACACTATATATTAATTACGACTTACAGGCACATCTTTCTTTACGGCGACCATATTAATATGTTCCACAGATTGCTCCATTGCTTTAGTGACTTTTACTATATGTTTCTTGCCTCTTTGCGGTTGTGCTGTGCAGCGCTATTTCACCTTGCTATGACAAGCTTGATCTGTGTGTGCAATGGTGTTGGTTCACTTGTCGCGTTCACGGATTGGTTGATGATGACCAGGGCGATGTTGACATACGATATCCTCACGGGACTTCAACGATTAGCCGACAATATGCTACACTGGTGGTATATAGACCTTGACTGTTATGTCGAAAACCTGCATGCAACTGAATTCTCTTATATACTGTATGTTGCACAAACAACACATATGCATATTTCAGCGATGAGTAATACAGTATACTGTATACAAAAAGAAAAACAAAAGCGACAATTTTCGCGCCAGAATGCGCGAATTAATCCCTGGCAGGTCATTAAGCATAGAAATAATAGTAGATATATTGTATAGCATAGATAATAGTAGATATACTGTATGTCATTAATAAGGTTTTAGTTATATTAACCTAAAAACAGTCCTCGAAACCCAGGTCAACCTACTCACTGGTTTACGAAACCTCTCAAAAAGCAATAACGTAGATTTTCAAAATCCTACGCACTAGTATATACGTATGCATTTCAATTTTCAAGGACTTTTACTACGATTTTCAGTTGAGCGGTTGGCATGCTGACAATCGAGCACACAATAACACCAACACTCAACAGGGTTTTATTCTGATTCGAAAATTTTTGCCCAGGCCAACTTGAAATATGAAAGACACGTATTTTGTAAAGACAAATTAAAATATTTGCCGTATTGAATGAAAGACAATAGTCAGTCAATAGGGTCGCATGAGCGCACATGGAATGTTTATAGCTGTGTAATTATTCATTTCAGTTCCGATATACCATCAGATGAGTCATGTAAGTATTTTTGTCATGTATATTTCTGCACGTATTCTCATGCATTTATAGGAACAAAACTGCCGTATGATCAGTAAGAGTGTATCACTATACAATGTTGGTGAACAATGGGTTTAAGCCTCTTTGCCACTAATAGCTGGCGATGTTTGGGAGGGACGGAAAATATATTCAACAATGCGCGATTGTTTAGCGAAATATTCACCGCCAAAAGTAGAATCCATCATTTTGAACAGTCATATAGGGTTTTCATCTTTCAATCACCCAACAAGTTGTCGTGCTAAATTTTCTGTAGACTTGCTCTCAAAGACTCTCTCGAATTGGCACAGGTCTTTCTAGTGTGGGTTTTTTTTCAATACCCATTCGCAGGCAAAAATCCAATGAAGGTAGTGTCAAAAATATTATAAACATGCTTTCGTTGGTAGGGGATGCAACTACCTGAAAACTATAAGGAGAATTTTGACGTTTCGAGCGAAGGCCTTCGAAATTCTCCTCACATTTTTCATTTTTTTGAGATCAGTTTCATTTTTAATTGAGTCTATCCATGCGTGCCTGATGGCGGCCTGTTAATCGATTTGAAAACTAGCACATGCAGGGGCGCACATTAGGGTATAGCAGTCTTCTTTGTTGCAAATCTAGCATAAACTTTGATATTTTTAACATTTAATTTCTGAGAGAGAATACAGTATTATATTTATACTTTATAAGACTGTTAGTCTTTGAAGTATTTCGGAAGAAGAAAGACCATTTTTCGAATCAGTCTATATATAGTATTTAACAAATATAAAACATTTTCCGTGTTGATGTGCAGTTATAGAGCGGAGTGTTTTCACACAATTTCGAGTTTTCCCAATTTCCACGAGTGTTGATATAACTATATATATCAATACGGAAAAAATGTTTTATAATCGTTATATAATATAGCACAAAGAAATATAAAGAAAGAAATTTTCCGACGTTTCCGTGTTGACATTGTGTTATATCAACACGGCTCTTAGCCAATCAGCGTTCAGAATTTACAAATGCTATATTATATAGGTAGGTATAAAACACGCGCGGGAGCTGAAAAGTAGACTATATTTTTCCGCCGCCGATTTTTGCACATAAATGCTTCTTTAGTGATGGTAAATACCCTACCTAAAACCTAAATGAAAAGTTAATATGATGCAACTGCCGAGGCAACTGCAGTCCATAGTTATTCTGTGTTCAGTTCAAATTCCGCATAAATAGTCCGGAAAACTTAGTTTTCACTTTTCACTCGTCAAATAACTTTGCATTTAGTGGCGAAGTGTTTCTAAAATTTATTTATTCTGACAGACCCCTTGCTCTAGTATCTAGGGCCATGGTAAAGCCGGACTGTTGCCTGTTGGTTAAAGCGCTGCACCAGGGCCGCAGGTTCGATTCCTGCCAGGGACCTATGTACAGGGCCGCCGAGAGCTTGGCGGGGGCCCGGGGCAAAAATTTTTTTAGGGGCCCCTATTGCAAAACAATTTTCCGGAAAAAAATTTTTCGGACAATAATTTCTTTTTAGGTAAATTTTTTTTTACGTACAAGTACGTTGTAATTGCTTTCGTGGGACTTTTCCGCAATTTTGCATACCAAATTTCGGTACTTTGCCCCCAAAACACAAATATTTCGGCCCAAAAACAGAAATATTTCGCCCGAAAAAATTACTGTGGCCCAACATTAAATTTCTAGGGGCCCCAAGAGCCTCGGGGCCCGGGGCAATTTGCCCCCCCCCCCCCCCTCTCGGCGGCCCTGCCTATGTATAGTTGCATTTTTCGCAGCTCTTCCTGGTTAGGTATAATAAATGTATATAAATTTCCACTCGATATACTCCATCTATATATATATATATATATATATATATATACAAGACCATTCAACTATTACTTCAGTTATCTTATACTTGCTGAAGATTTTAATAGGTTGCCAATTTCATCAAATTTCTGTTATATAACGTTTAACTGTTCTCTTATGAGGCTCTAGATTGGGTGGTGCCCAAAACAGTAAACATTAGATTTTTTAGTAATTCAAAAGTAAAAAATGTCACATAACAGTAAAATTTTGCTAATTTCACAAAGACGTAAAAAATCGCGTAATTAATTGCTCCCGGAGTATAATGCTACTGTTAATTATATGTGGATCACACAAAGATAAATGAAGTTTGTATTAGGGAAGCAAATAAACAGTCGTCTGAGACCATCAAAGAAATATTTTGCATATTTTGTAATTGTGACACCAGGCTGCATGCATGCATGAAGGCATCACATGGCATGATGACATGGCATGGAGAAAGATGCAGTTGCTGGACAAGGTGACAAGTGATGTAAAAGCTATAAAGATTTGTAAGACCTGTAAACACACTCTGAGCGCTTTTTATATAGTTTCGTATTTATTTTGTCTGAAATTTAGTAGTTTAAGGCCCTTTACGGCTTTAGTCATGGTATTTTTTGGTCTTTTTGAAATGCGTTAGACTTTTTATAGTAATTACAACACTTAACTGCTAAGTCTTCCATGACAGTAAACAACAAAATTTTTAGCGTTTCCACATTAACACCATAGAATATGGGCCGTCAACACTTGACATTAAACCCCATTTATAGACCCTCTCTTATACATATGCATGGAGTTTAATTAACTTTTATTTTGGACAGAAAGACATTTCTCCGCTGTAACCAAGCTCTAATTCTAATACGTATACCCCCAATCAATTTGCATGTAACATGTATAATTAAAATAATGATAAAAAGATTTGTGATTTGTTATATAATATTAATAATGCAATAAGCATTCTTCTTCCAAACTAAAAGCGTTCATCTTTGTCGCATGTAATGTTAACAAAGGTAAAAGTTAAAAATTAATGAAAAGATTGTTGTCTATATGTTAGGATGAGGTGACTTGCAAGTTAGGTCCACTGTAAGCTTGTCCACCATTATTGGTATAAGATGTTCCTAGACCGTACAGATGACCACAATATTTCGTATCATCTATCTTGTCTTCAAAAAACATCTAGTAAATAAAAACAAACTCATGATCAATATTATTATACATAAACTATGTACACGCACAATTTTCTTTTGGCAAATTTTATGCCAATATATTGAAATTGTTCATGCATGTAGTGAAGATCAATAAGACAGGTTTTCATTGAAAAATTAGCAGTTTCAGTTTTGGTATATAGATTCATGATTGTGTGGCTGCATGTATAACAGTAAGATATATGAGAACGTTTCTAAAAGTGATCTCTACAAGTGTTTCCTGTATATAGTCTCGATTGACTGTCTGGGGTCGTTTGTACGAAGGTCGGATGGCGCTATCCACCGGATAGTGATTTTTCAACCTTTGTAAAATGCTTGAAAAACTGTGAAACTACGGATATGGACGACACAAGAAGTACAAAAACATATACAGTGTAACTTATAAATACTAAACTTTAATACGAGTTATACCAATCAACGACTGATTTAACAAAGCTTGAAAAAATCACTATCCGGTGGATAGCGCTATCCGGCCTTCGTACAACCGGCCCCTGCATAGTAATTAATTAATAAACCTGTATCAGTAATTTAATTCAGGCCTTAAAATATCGGTCGGTCACGGACATTGTCCGACCCATTCGTGAAATTGTCTGACGTAGGGAGGAAACTACCGGACATTCTGTCCGACCAAAGTGAAACTAAGGTTTATTGTTTGTCCGACCTAAGTGTATTTGTGTCCGACCGAACTCACCGAACTGTAGCTTTGTCCATCGTAAATCAAAATGTATCCTAGAAGGTAACGCAGTCGAGCGCAGGGCGGCGAGCGAAATGGTGAATTGGAAAACGGGCTTAAGTTGTCGAAGTCTTTTTTATTACTGCTGTTCTGGAAAGCAAGTTAATTTTGGCTTGGAAATAAGTATGAAAGAAACAAATTATTTAATATCTTCACAACATTTACCGTTCAGAATTAATATATTGTGCTGATATTCATTTGTGTCATTCAGACTTATTTTCAAGTCAAACTGAACTGAAGGTCATCGGACATATGTCCAACCCAAACTCAACGTCATCGGACATTTTGTCAGACGGCCCTGTAAAAGATATTTTAAGGCCTGAATGTAATTATTATGATCGTTATCCAATAATCATTGTAATTTTAATAAGTTAACCTGTTGTTTTTACAGTATAAGTTATTTCTTCTTCCGCATGCAGTTATACAAATTCAGTACACCATGCCATATATAGGGCCATGTTCATAATTTCTATGCGTGGCTTTTTATCCGAAATTGCATTACATGTCACGGTAAAAATGTTACTTATACAAATCCGTTTTGCAAAACTAAATGCGATTTTTATAAAAATATCATTTGTACATGGCCTTATGTCTAACTTCATGTTAAATTCAGTTAGTAATCTATTTTCCAAAATTTGATTTATATCGTGTAGTTAGAAACACATTTTGAATATTTTTCAAACCTGGGGCCGGTTGTTCATAAATGGTTAGCTTAATCCTGGGTTAATGTAAAATTCAAAACAAACTTCCTAGCACTAGCTTGTTTATAAACTTGGGATTTTTTTTCAGAAATCTTGTCTGGATCATCAGGAGTTTAATTTTCTAAAGTTCTGAAATGGGTTAAATTTAAACCCAGGGTTATCGCTAATCATGCTTTAAACAACCCGCCCCGGAAGTGCTGTTGTGTAATATACTATAAGACAAAGAATGATCTTCTTACCTCCCTCATTTTAAAGAAAGATGCTCCAGTCAACATGCTGTCACTTCCTGCTTGATGTTGTGGACCCACTCGTTCAAGCTAGGACAGAACGTTCATATTTAGAACTATACATGTCCCATACATTTCTGCTTAATTTAACCAGCTATAGGATATATGCTTGAATTAGGCTTTCTCACGGCCGATTTTCCCGCCATTTTTGGGGTACTGCCTCTCCCATTGTAGTTGTTTGTATAATGGTAAATTTACAGTTACAACTTTTAAAAGTTGCTTTTTACGTTGTTTGAATTGTCTAGAATCTTTCACAAGGAGCGACAGTACCCCTTCGAAATTCTAAGATCAGTACATGTGACTGTCAGGGGGTCTAGACCACCTTTCTATAGAAAAGAACTTGAAGTTGTGGACGATTTTGACTAAACGCCAAGGCCGCTGGAGTTTTTTAAATTTTAGATGAGGTATATAGACGTATCAGTTCATCCCATTTTAAACGTTGTATTATAGAAGTATTTTGAACAGTGTTTTTGGCAACGTATATTTTCGAGCATGCGCAGTACAAGAGAAACGAACACGTTTGTTTTTGAGAATCGAACCCAAGTTGACGTTTTATAAAATTTTTCCTATTTTATTTGTATTATTGGTGAATAAATTTGTGCTCCAAATGGCGGATTTTGGCCTTCGTGAGAAAGGCATATTACGAAACCATGCATATTACGTTGGATAGACCAAAAATCCTTGGTTAATAATCCACCATAATCTGGTTAATTCAATCATATAGCCTGGTTAAATAACCAGGAATCCTAGTTCAACTAGCCAGGACTATGATCAAATGAACCAGGACTGTGGTTAAATTAACCAGGAAATCTAACCAGGAACGTTAAGTTAGCCCAACTAGGGTTAATTTTAGATTAACCAGAGATTTTTAACCAGGGTATTGTTAGAGTGTAGCCATTTTTCGCGTGAAACTCTGCGACAGCCATATACCCTAGCTCCT